AAGATAAGATCTTCTTTTATGTTCATGAAAAAACTCCTTTGGTGGTGACTATACGAATGAGGAAGATGACTGGAATACGACTTGGGAATTTCCCATTTACGTATTTAGGTTGTCCAATATATTATAGAAGGAAGAGTTAAAGTTATTTTGAAGGCCTAGTCCGAAAGGTTGCTGCGAGAATTTTCTCATGGCACAACAGATTCTTGACTTTTGGAGGAAAACTCATACTGATAAAACATGTGCTACAGTCCATGACAATATACATGTTATCTACTATGATACCTCCAAAAAGTGTGATAGAGCAAATTCATCAGATCTTTGTGAAGTTTTTTTTGGGAAATTATTCTGGAAATAGAGGAAAACATTAGGTCGCATGGTCTGAGATGTGTTATCCCAAGAGAGAAGAGAGGGTAGGTTTCAGATCCCTGGCAGATAATCAGATGCCCTGTTTGCAAAGCTGTGGTGGAATTTTAGAACTAATACATCTTTGTAGAGCATATTTATGTGGAGCAAGTATTGTAAAAAATTCCATCCCACAATAGCAAACACTAAAGGGGCATCACAGGTATGGAGAAAAATGATGAGAATCAGGGAAGAAATGGAACATGAAATATGGTGTCAACAAAAAGGAGGGACTACTAGTTTTTGGATGGACAATTGGACAAAGCTGGGAGCTTTGTACGTTATTGAACCACAAGGATTGAATGAAGATGTGGAAGTGAAAGAAATGATTCAAAATGCAGAATGGAATATACCCAGACTTCGGCAAATAATTTCTGAGGACATGGTGGAATATATCGTGGAGAACATTAATCCTGTGATGGAAGGGGTAGATAAAGCTTGGTGGATGGGTAACTCACATGGTGAGTTTACTATTAAGTCAACATTTCAAGTATTGAGAAGGAAAAGGGAGGAGCAGGAATAGATGAATTACATTTAGATAAAAGATCTCCCCTTTAAGATCTCATTCTTTCTGTGGAGGGTATAGAGAAAGAGAATACCTACAGATGATGTCCTAAAGAAGATGAAAGTAAACATGATGTCTAAATGTTACTGTTGTGATGTGGAGGGAAGAGGAAACAAGTCATCATCTTTTTCTAACGGCTCCAATAGCTCAACAACTATGGAACCATTTTGCTTCTTGTGCAGGTATAAATATTGAAGGATTACACTTACAACAGCTGATAACTACTTGGTGGGAATGGCCATCAAAGCATAAATTGAAACAAATACTCAATACAATGCCAGCTATTATAATGTGGGAGCTATAGAAGAGAAGGAATGCAAGAAGACATTGAAGGGCAGTATCATATGTGCAGATGCGTAGTCAATGTCAACAAACTATTCAGATGTTACTGAAAGTGAGATTGGATTAAAAGAGGAGATCAGAAGGGGAAAGAGTTGATTGCCAGTTTAGATAAATATAGGCCTACACTACATTATAAATTAGTATATTGGGAGCCGCCAAAAACAGATTAGGTCACATGTAATACAAATGGGGCTTGTAGGGGAAATCCAGGTCATAGTTCCTATGGATTAAACATTAGGGATAAGAATGGTGATCTGATTTATGCAGAAGCACAGTGCATTGGGGAGGTGACTAATATGGAGGCTGAGATAATGGGGGTTTGAAAGGCATTGCGATACTGTGAGATAAAGAATATTCAGAGCATCATCTTGGAAATGGATTTATTAGTACTCAAAAACATGATAACAAATCAGTGTAGGATTCCTTAGGCATATGCAGAAAAAATGGAGGACATACAAATGAGCATAACTAGTAGGCAAGTGCATGTCAAACATATTTTTAGATAAGCAAATAATTCAGCAAATTATTTAGCAAATGCAGCATTAGATCAAACAGAAACAGTGCAAACGCATGGGTTCTATGATTTATCAAGCAAAGGAAGAAGAATCATCAACACAGAGAAGCATAAAATACCATCATTGAGAATAAAAACACGAAGGATTAGCCCAACATGCTAACACAGAGCAAGAATCTACAGATATACACAGGCTTAGATATTTACAGATCGTTGTTCATTCTATGAAGAGAAGATCTAGTTGTGTACAGGACTAAACTACTTCAACTTACAAAAAGGACCAGATTAAGGGGGGATGCCAAAACCCTGTCTTTCGATGTGGCACTGTCTCGATTCAGCAGGCGATGTTTTTATGCTCATATTTAAAATTTCAAACTTCATTTTTATGCTCATGTTTAGAATTTCAAACGTTCTTCCCGAATCTTTCTCATGGAATCGGAAACACCAGATAAGACATCAATTTATTTGCTTTCCAGATAATAAAAAAAATTAAGAACTTACATTAGAGAATTGAAATCGAAAGAGGTTGCTTCTTTGGAGAATTTTTACAAACAACTAGAGAGCAATAGTTGACTTTAAATAAGAAATATGCAAAAGTAACATGCTTGTTTTCCCTAAACCAACAAAGAATATAACGGAAATTACGAATTAAAAAAATAACCTCATAATTTCTTTTCCCCTAAATCACACAAAACTCCAAACAATCAATTAGCAAAAAAAGTAAAAATGAAATCCCATGATTTCATTTTTCGCACATAGAAAATCAACAAAATTTAAGGACGATAAGTATACTTTTCTCTTTAAACGCAGAAATATTAGTGAACACATAAAGAGAACTCCAACCCAAACAATCAGACCCAAAAGCATTTTTCTTAGTATTCATTTGCCTATTGATTCTTTACTCTCCTTTTTCTTAGTATTCTCTACACGTATAATGTTGGTTTTCTGATTCGAGAGTAATTTTCTCGCTAGGATATTAATTTGATGTGGTAATTTATCACTATAATTTATCGAACACTAGGCAAAAAATTGAAAGAAAAATCATCAGCGTTATTTATTTGTTTTATCTATTTTTGTTCACTTGATTTTCACAAGAAAAATCCAATAGAACATGGTTATGCTCACAAACATAGCTTATTCAAAAGGGGCAAGAACGAAAAAAATAAACGCCATGCATTGTTGGTATCTTGGATTGAAGTTACCTTACAACAACTAATTGAAAGGATACTAACACAATTAAAATTTGTGAACAGTTAAAAAGTAACCGATACATTAACAAGAAACGTACTAAGAAAACTAAAAGACTAAGTCTGAATTTTAAAGAAAACGTTACTGTGAGTAATAGTTTAGCTATAAAACGTGCCTCCGAATAACGAATCATAAAACGTATTTGACAGTAACGTTTTATGCTTAAAACGTTACCACCAATAACGTTTCGTTATTTAACACCGTCAGCCCATATATTTTACGCGTCAGAATTTTTTTAAATAAAAGTATAGCCTAAAATGTTACTCAGGATTACGTTTATACTAGTTTTGTAAATTTTCAAAAAAAAATATTATTTTGGTGAATTGATTTAAATAGTGGCTTACTTTGGTCAAAAATTCTCAATGGATAGATGAGAGCATTAAGATGGAGCTGGGTGGAAGCAGGCATGAATGTCACGTGCAGTGAAGTTGTGACTACATTACTACGTGGAGTAAAGATGAAAGCAAGAATATGACTGAAATGATGCAAATGCCCTTCGTAAATTAAAAAATGACCATAAGCAGACAGGTTGATGCCATGCTGCTACCCATGCTTCTAAATTCTAATATAGTAGAAAGTGAAATAAAAGGACCACTGGTCCAAAATTTAAATTAAAAAAAAGTCATAGCAAAGGATATACGTGCAAACCGCAAAATTTCTTTATACGTGTATGGTTCATTTATACGCAATTTAGATAGCGACATCTCTTTGTTTTAATTTATTTGTATCGTTTTGACTTGACACAGTTTAAAAGAGTAAAAATATACTTTTATTTTTTGTGTGTTTTAAATATGTCATGTAGAAAATTGAAATTAAGGAATTATCAAAAAAGTAAAAAACACATTCTGTTTTAACCGACTAAAAAAATAAGACATCTCTGTTGTCCCACATATATCTGATGAAACAACTATATAAATAGTACTATTTTTCTGGTGGTACATCTCTATACACATTCTGCTTTTGGTCTTTGTTTGTCCTAATTTTGCGAACCAATTGTGACAGTTTTATTGAGACCTCACACGCAATAATTTAATGAAATTGAGATACCATCGTAAAATAATTGTGGACACAAGTGAAAGGAAAGGGATGGTAGAGTTATATAATATCAAATTATTCAATATTGGAACGCCATAGAATTAAGCAGTTAAAGCATACTTTGAAATTGGAGTTTCAAATTCGAACAACAACTCAAACAAGAACAATGAAAGAATTATGGAGAACTTGATTTTCTTTTTGTGATAGGGATGAACAAAGAAGAACAACATTACTGAGAGGAAGGTATTTTTGTCATGTTGGACCGCCTGGGTGGACTGTCATGTCAGCTCTAATGGCAAAGATAACGTTTTAAGGGTATTTGTGATCCAAAACATAGACGGCAAATATAATTTTAATCCCAAACATAAATAAATGTTATATATGAGCTATTTCGAATAGTACGAGGGTAATTTTGATCCTTTTCCATTTATAAAAAGGGTATAACCATACATAATATGCTTTTGGTGGTACACGTGTATTCTGCTTATGGTCTTTGTTTGTCTTATTTTTGCCCACCAATTCTACGGACTGTTTTACTGACCTTACAGGCAATAATTTAATGATATTGAGATATCATGCAAAGTAGTAGTGACTTGTGGACACAAGTGAAAGGAAAGGGATGGTAGAGTTAATATAATATCAAATTATTCATTATTGGAACGCCATAGAATTAAGCAGTTAAACAAATATGGGAGAAATAGAAGTTAAGTACATGGAAGTTCCTTCTGTCCAGGAACTGGCCAAGAAGAAACTCGTGACGATTCCATCGCGATACGTACGTGATGATCAAGACCGTTCAATTGCAACATCAAATTATAAGCAAGTTCCAGTAATTGATATGCAACGATTGATCAACTCTAACGATCATGACTCCATGAATCTTGAGCTTAATAAGTTGCACTTTGCAGCTAAAGATTGGGGTTTCTTTCAGGTACATATTTTATTATTAACAAGTTTATTGCTTAAAGGTACGTCAACTAAATAGATCAATAATAGAATAGCAAAGATTAAGTGACTCATATGATACAAAACAAAAAATAATATCTTTTTTCAATTAAAAGTGCTTGTGTATGCTTTAGTTTAATAAACTTTTTAAATAAAATTATCATATACTTTAATATAATATCAGTTTTCAAGATTGTTTGGTTCAAAAACAGTAAAGCCCTTTGGCCTTGAAGTAGTCCAAATAGGGGTCCTAATTTGTATGATACAATTTTTTTTCAGTTAATTTTAAAAAAGAAGTAAGTGTCAAAAAAACACATCTAAACTATTCTTTTTTTTTACCTAAATTATTGAGAATGTGAGTTTCATACGTAAGTTATCACTTATTAGTTTGAGAAACGCATCTCTCTTTCTTTTATTACACTCTTATCATGGTGTACTACATCCTCTCTTTTATTTTCAAAAATCATGTACAAAATATTCTATCTTAACAAAAATTAAATAAATTATTCGTATTAGTTAAAATAATGGACAAAACTACATTCCACCTTAACAAACAAATAAATAAATTATTAGTATTAGTTAAAGTTAAAAATAAAAGTATTACTATCAAAAAAATTATAAAATAAAATGTAAAATATTTTTCTTACCCCAATCCACCACTTCCCCCCCCCCCCCCCCACCCTCAACTTTTTTACTTTTTTTAAAAAAAAAAATCATTTTATAAAAGCTTTTTGAAAAATTCTTACTTCATCTCTCCCTACCCTTCAAATAATAATATAGATATTATTTTATTTTTTAAAAGAAAAAATAATTCTACCTCACCCACCTAACCCTACGCTTTCAATTTTATCCTCATTTTGTGTTATATATAATATTTTCCTAAACATATATGTACATATTCAACACGAAACGAGAAAAATGTTAAAAAAAAAACAAATAGAAAGAGAGACTTAGATGGTGTGTGGTGGAATTTATTTATTTTAAAATTATAAAAATAATATCATTTTTTTTGGAAGGAGTTGAGAAGGGGATGACGTCTGGATTTTTTAAAAAAATATTTATAAAAGAAATTTAAATAATAAAAGGATGGGGGATTGTCGTGGCTGGGGTGGGGGTGGGGGTGAGAAAAATATTTTAAATTTTATCTTTTAAAAAATATTTTTTTAAAATTATTTTTGGATAGTAATACTTTAATATTTAACTTTTAATTAGTATTAATGACTTATTTTATTTTTGTCAAGATGAAATAATTTATTCATGTGGCAAAATTTTACCAATAAAACAGAGAGTGTATTACACTTCCAATAGTTTAGTTGTTTAGGTATGAAGCTCAAAAAAATGTGATAGTGTAGGTGTATTGTCGACACTTATTTCTTTTTTAAAAAAACAGAATGACAATTTTTTTTTATATATATTTAGTAACAATATAGATTCAAAATATTAATTTCACCCTAGATAATAATTTTAAGTACTTAAATATATATGACTTATTTTAGACTATAAACTTAAAAAATATTTTCATATTTTTTTAAACTCCATGCCCAATAGAGGGAGTAATAACAAGTTCAACTACATTTGCAGTTGATTAATCATGGAGTTAGTTTTTCAGTAGTGGAGAAGATGAAACATGAAACTAAAAAAATCTTCGATCTGCCATTGGAAGAGAAGAAGAAGTTTGAACAATCGTCAGGAGATACAGAAGGATTTGGACAGCTGTTTGTTGTCTCTGGTGAACAAAAGCTTGACTGGGCTGATCTCTTTTACTTGAAGACCTCACCGACATATTTGCGGAAGCCTATATTTTCCAAGCTTTACCTTTCACTTAGGTACGTAATTGTTAACATTGTTCGTGCTCTTTTGTACTAAACACTAAAATATAAGTAAGAGAATCACTTATTAATGTGTGTGTAGAGAGACGATTGAAGAGTATACAAAAGAAATAAAGGAGTTAAGCATGAAAGTTTTGAAAATGTTGGGTAAAGCTTTGGGGATTGATGAAGAAGAAGTGAAAAGTGTTTTTGAAGAAGGAATGCAATCAATGAGGATGAATTACTATCCACCATGTCCACAACCAGACAAAGTGATGGGACTTACTCCTCATTCAGATGCAACAGGCCTTACAATACTTCTTCAAGTCAATGAAACTCAAGGTCTTCAAATTAGAAAAGATGGAATATGGATTCCCATTGAACCACTCCCTAATGCATTCATAGTCAATGTTGGAGATGTTTTTGAGGTACTTCCTTCATCTCATTCTCTAAATATTTATTAAGTAGTACAATATTATTTTTGCAGTCATTTTAATTTATGTGGTGATATTTGACAAGCTAATTTTCCAATATATTCACAAGGAATATTCCAAATCCCTTGTGACCTTGCCCCTCCCTACCATCCATCAAGAATCGAGTCTTAGGGTCTGAATCACAACCCTAACCTGAGATCCAAGACCTGGCTATTAGAGCATCACAAGTCAGTTCAAACATTAGTTAGTAGTTTAGTCAGCATTAGTGTTTTAGTAGTCCATACTTATTTAGGAGTCTGCCTTAGCTACATCAGCCACTCAATTTATTTAGGAGTCTTATTTTTTGCTATGTAATTCTATTTAATATCTTTTTGCCTTCATTAATTAAGTATTGTTTTCCAACACATATTCAGTCTTTATATGGTATCAAAGCTTTATTATACTGACCTCTACCCAACATTGACTAGAAACCCAGGGTGTGAACCTTATAATCCTCAACCTCGATCCGAGACTCAGGACACTAAACCTGAGACTCCACCCTAACTCGAGACCTGAGATTCGACCATAACCTGAGACATGTATTTGACCTCGACTCGAGATCTGACCCCGACTCAATATTCGAGCTCTAGCTACCAAGGACGTGGGACCTGACCCGATAAATCCGATCTTGACTCGGGTTACGTTTCGAGATCCTACTTTGACCCAAAACCTGAAACTCAATCTGACTTTGGCACAAAACTTGAGACTTGGGTTTCAACCCTAACCTAGGATCGAACCTTGACTTGGGACTAGAGTTGTAATACTCGAATCCTGGCCTATAGAAAAAAATCAAAGTAAATTTTAAACAGTAATTAAATTGAAATTAAAGTAAATCTTAGAAATAAGCTATAACTAGGCTAATATTGAACTAAATTGAAGATCACTTTCAAAATGAGTTATACTGAAGTGGTCTAAAATTAGCCCAATATAAAACTATCTTGTGCCCAATCCTTAAAATTCTTGGCGAGCCATCACACTTTTGTAGACCATATTTGACACCCTTACTTGTAGCTCTGCTCTTATCTTCTTCTTTATAATATACTAACTTTATTTTTGGAGTAGATTTTCTCAAATGGAATTTACAGAAGCATAGAGCATAGATCAGTGGTGAGCTCAGAAAAAGAAAGGATTTCAGTAGCAACATTTCAGAGTCCAAGATTGGATGGTATATTAGGTCCATCAAGTAGCCTTGTTACAGTTGATAATCCACGAAAATTCAAAAATATCGGAGTCACTGAATATTATAAAGGATTTTTCACCCGTGAACTTGTTGGGAAATCATATGTGGACATCATGAGAATCACCAATGAAGATGATCTACAGAATTAATTAGTAGTATTTGTATTAATGGTAAGTAAATCCTTTGATTATGAAAGGATTAATATTTACATATGTATAAGGATTTAGATATCTCAATTTGAATATCTATTTGAATTCTTAAGACGTTGTGTTAAGATTTCAATACTAAAAATTAAGACTGTTTATATTTTTAAACATTTACAATATGTAAAAAAATTATATGATGATTACGGATGTTGATGGAGGATGATGCATCTTATTTAATAATTACTGTGTAAATTATTTTCTGAATTTTCTATAAATATATGACGATTTTTCTCCAAAATAGTTTTAAGTGAGAATTTCCAAAAAAATTTGTTGAAGAAAAAAGAATAATAACTAAAGCTAAGCTGAATAGAGGTAGCTGATTTTATGCTTTCTAAAATTTATATTACGCAATCAAATACATAAGGAAATAAGATAATAAAGTATTCATGTTGTTTTCTCCAGCACTAATCTACAAATTATCTGTCATCATTATAATTTATAAAATTAGCAAACAAAAGTAAGTTGCACGTCATTTAAGTTCATGACTGAGATTTTTGTTCATTGTAGTCATTTTTCAAGTTTTTCACATCAAGAGATATATAGTATCAAGACCTTTGTGTCCAGACTCTTCATCACAGGGGCGGACCCACGTAGAATCCTCCGGGTGATCGAGCACCCATTAACCTCGTCTTGATTTTATAAAATTAATATAGAGCACTCAATTAACAAATCATTCTAATTCGAGAAATACACCACTAACGGTCCTTAAATATGCATAAATCTTAGGACAGTAGAATCAAGGGATCAACAAAATTCTACCTGCAATCTTGATGAATAAAATTATGTTTTTTCATATTTTTTTTATTGCAATTTATTTTCTATCACTTTAAAATTTGTTACAAACACCGAGATCCAACTTTGACCCAGAATCCAAAACTCAATCTGTCTTTGACACGGAACCCAAAACCTAGGTTTTGACCCTAACTACGGACCGGACCTTGACTTGGGACTAGACTTCTAAAACTCAAACCCTGACTTATATATAGTAAAAAATAATAGAATAAATCAAAGCTATAACCGGCCACTAATGTAAAGCTAAATTGAAGATCATTTTCAAAATGGATTATACTAAATTGGTCTAAAATTAACAAAATATGGAATTATCTTGTGCTCAATCCTTAAAAATTTTGGCGAGTCATCGCTTTTGTAGGTCATATTTGACCCCTACTTATACTAAATTGGTCTAAAATTAACCAAATATGGAATTATCTTGTGCTCAATCCTTAAAAATTTTGGCGAGTCATCGCTTTTGTAGGTCATATTTGACCCCTACTTGTAGCCCTGGTCTAATATATATTCTTCTTTGTAATAAAATTTATTTATTTATTGGAGCAGATTTTGTCAAATGAAATATACAAAAGCATAGAGCATAGATCAGTGGTGAACTCAGACAAAGAAAGGATTTCGGTAGCAACATTTCAGAGTCCAAGATTGGATGGTATATTAGGTCCATCAAGTAGCCTTGTTACAAGGTGCGGGGTCAGGATTTTCAATAAAGGGGTTCAAAATTTGAAAAAATAGACACATAAAGCAGCCGAAGGAGGTTCGACATCTACTATATATATCTAAGAAATTATTTTAACCATGTATAAATAATATAATTTTCTATCTAAAAGAATTCAGATGTACCCCTGAATGTAAGTTGGCTCCGCCACAACTTGTTACAGCTCAAAATCCACCAAGATTCGAAAAAATGGGAGTCACTGAATATTATAATGGATTTTTTAACCATGATTTGTAGGAAAATCATATATGGACACCATGAGAATCACCAGAGAAGATGATTCAAAATATTAATTAGTACTTGTATTAATGGTACCTATGTAAGTAAATCCTTTGATTATGATCAAATGATTGATATTAACATATGTATAAAGATTTAGGTATCTGAATTTGAATATACATTTGAATTCTTAAGACGTTAGGTAAGATATTGTATTAAGATTGGAATACTAAAAATTAAGACTGTTTATTTTTTAAAACATTTGAATATGTAAAAGTTTTCTTTATTTAAAGTTAATAAATAACCCTCAAATAGACTCTAAATTATTAAGTCGACCTCTAATTTTGTGTATAATTAGAGAATTTAAACTATATCTATATATATATAATACTAAAAAAAAATAAAGAAAAATACTTCACATATATCATTTAATTTTTTAACGAGGGGGTGAGCATCAGCCTAAACTCCCAACACTTCACTGGTTAGGCATGACATTTTTTATTTAAACATTAATTTTTGTTTTCTTACTCCTTATTTCCTGTTTTGCCTTAATTTGTAAATTACTCCGTGTATATAGTTTAGTTTGTGTGTAGTTCATTTATACGCAATTCGGGTAGCGACATCTGCATATGAATGGTTATATAACGGTCGTCCTTATAAGTTTTTAGTAACTTATATAATGGTGGTATGATTTGACTAGTCACAAAATTTAAGAAAATAAAAAAAGACTTTTGAATTTTATAGTTTTAAACATGTCATATAGAAAATTGATATTAAAAAATTGTACATTCTTTTTTAAATAGACTACATTAAAAAATAATAATAAGACAAACAAATTGAAACTGTTTAAATTGTCCCACGTTATTGATGATATAACAAGGATATAACCATATATAGTATGCTTCTGGCGGTATCTAGATCTGCTTTATGGTCTTTGTTTGTCCTATTTTGCCCACCAATTATTATACTGACAGATTTATAATAGTTGTGGACACAAGTAGGAAAGGGATGGTAGAGTTAATATAATATCAAATTATTCATTATTGGAACGCCATAGAATTAAGCAGTTAAACAAATATGGGAGAAATAGAAGTTAAGTACATGGAAGTTCCTTCTGTCCAGGAACTGGCCAAGAAGAAACTCGTGACGATTCCATCGCGATACGTACGTGATGATCAAGACCGTTCAATTGCAACATCAAATTATAAGCAAGTTCCAGTAATTGATATGCAACGATTGATCAACTCTAACGATCATGACTCCATGAATCTTGAGCTTAATAAGTTGCACTTTGCAGCTAAAGATTGGGGTTTCTTTCAGGTACATATTTTATTATTAACAAGTTTATTGCTTAAAGGTACGTCAACTAAATAGATCAATAATAGAATAGCAAAGATCAAGTGACTCATATGATACAAAACAAAAAATAATATCTTTTTTCAATTAAAAGTGCTTGTGTATGCTTTAGTTTAATAAACTTTTTAAATAAAATTATCATATACTTTAATATAATATCAGTTTTCAAGATTGTTTGGTTCAAAAACAGTAAAGCCCTTCGGCCTTGAAGTAGTCCGGGGTCGGACCAAAACGGACCATATATAGGTTGTATGCATATATTTACTTTGCTCCAATTTCTATGATACAATTTTTTTCAGTCAGTTTTAAAAAGAAATAAGTGTCAAAAACGGCTAAACTTATCTATTTTTAATTCTATACCTAAATTATAGAAAATGTGAGTTTCATACGATAAGTTATCACTTAGTAGTTTGAGAAACACATCTCTCTCTTTTATTATACTTTTATTTATGATGGTGTGTGTACTACACCTTCTCTTTTATTTTAAAAAATCATGGACAACATTCTATCTTGACAAAAATTAAAGAAATTATTAGTATTAGTTAACATAATGGGACAAAATTACATTTCACCTTAACAAAAAATTAAATAAATTATTAGTATTAGCTAAAGTTAATAATAAAGGTATTACTATCCAAAAAAGTATAATAAAATGTAAAATATTTTTCTCACCCCACTCCAGACTCCACCACTTCCTCTCACCCACCCTCCCCCCACCACCCCTTTTTAGTTTTTCTTTTTTAGAAAAAAAAATTCCTTTTATAAAAGTTTTTTGAAGAAATCTTACTCATCTCCCCCTAATCCTTCAAATAATAATTTAGATATAATTTTATTTTTTTAACAGAAAAAATAATTCTACCTCTCCCCACCTAACCCTACACTTCCGATTTTTTTCTTGTTTTGTGTTATATATGATATTTTTCAAAAAATATATGTACATATCCAACACAAAACGAGAAAAATGTAAAAAAAAAAGAAAAAAAATAGGAAGAGAGAGCTAGATGGTGTGTGGTAGAATTTTTTTTAAAAAAAAAATAATAATATCAATTTTTTTTTTTAAAGGAGTGGGGGAGAGGGTGAAGTCTGAATTTTTTCAAAATATTTTATAAAAGAAATTAAAAGAATAAAAGGATGGGGGGGAGGGATTGTCGGGGGTGGGGATGGGGGAGAGAAAAACATTCTAACTTTTATCTTTTTAAAAACAATTACTTTTTAAAAAAAAGGTTTTTTTGGATAGTAATACTTTAATCTTTAACTTTTAATTAATATTAATGACCTATTTAATTTTTCTCAAGATGAAATATTTTATTCATGTGACAAAGTTTTGCAAATGAAAGAGAGTATATTACACTCCCAATAGTTTAGCTATTTAGGAATGAAACTCAAAAAAATGTGATAGTTTAAGATGTATTTTTGACACTTATCTCGTTTAAAAAAGAATGACAATTCTTTTTTATATTTAGTAACAATTTAAATTCAAAATATTATATTTTACCGTAGATAATTTTAACTACTTAAACATATTATGACTTATTTCAGACTACAAATATAACAAAACTTCTCATATGTTCTTAAACTCCATGAGCAACTGAGGTAGTAATAACAAGCTCAACTACATTTGCAGTTAATTAATCATGGAGTTAGTTGTTTAGTGGTGGAGAAGATGAAACATGAAACTCAAAAGTTCTTCGATCTTCCATTAGAAGAGAAGAAGAAGTTTGAACAATCGTCAGGAGATACAGATGGATTTGGACAGTTGTTCGTTGTCTCTGATGAACAAAAGCTTGACTGGGCTGATCTCTTTTACTTGAAGACCGCACCGACATATTTGCGGAAGCCTATATTTTCCAAGCTTTATCTTTCACTTAGGTACGCTATTAATATTGTTTGCGCTTTTTTGTATGAAACACTAGAAAATAATTAAGAAAATCACTTATTAATGCGATGTAGAGAGATGATTGAAGAGTACGCGGATGAAATGAAAAAGCTAAGCATGAAAGTATTGGAAATGTTGGGTAAAGCTTTGGGGATTGATGAAAAAGAAGTGAAGAGTCTTTTTGAAGAAGGAATGCAATCAATGAGGATGAATTACTATCCACCATGTCCACAACCTGGCAAAGTGATGGGAATTACTCCTCATTCAGATGCAACAGGCCTTACAATACTTCTTCAAGTCAATGAAACTCAAGGTCTTCAAATTAGAAAAGATGGAATTTGGATTCCCATTGAACCACTCCCTAATGCATTCATAGTCAATGTTGGAGATGCTTTAGAGGTACTTCCTTCATCATCTTCTCTTAATATTTATTAAGTAGTACAATATTATATTTGCAAACATTTTAATTTATGTGGTGATATTTGACTACGACCTTTCGTCACTGGGAGATATCACACAATACCATCCATCAAGAATTGAGTCTTAGGGTCCGACTCACAACCCCAACCTAAGATCCAAGACATGACTATTAGAGCATCACAAGTCAGTTCAGACATTAGTTAGTAGTTTAGTGGTATTACTGTTTTAGTAGTTCATACTTATTTAGGAGTTTGCATTAGTTATACATCAGTCGTTCAGTTTGTTTAGGAGTCTTATTATTTGATTTGTAACTTTATTTAATATCTTTTTGCCTTCATTGATTAAGTATCATTTTTCAACACATATTCGGTCTTTTTATGGTATCAGAGCTTTATACTGACCTCTACCCAACCTTGACTAGAAACACAAGACGTGAGCCTCATAATCCTCAACCTCGATCCGAGACTCAGGACACTGAACCTGAGACTCCACCCTAACTCGAGACCTGAGATCCAACCATGACCTGAGACCTGTATTTGACCTTGACTCGAGATCTGACCCCGACTCAATATTCGAGCCCTAGCTACCAAGGAGGTGGGACCTGACCCGCGACTTGACATCGAACCATAAATCTGATCTTGACTCGGGTTTCGAGATCCTACTTTGACCCAAAACCCGAAACTCAGTCCAACTTTGACATAGAACCTGAGACCTGGGTTTTGACCCTGACCTTGACTTGGGACTAGAGTTGTGAGACTCGAATCCTTGCTTGTATTTATCAAACTAATTATCTTAAACCGTAAATTCAAATTAAAGTAAATCATAGAAATAAGCTATAAGTAAGCTAATATTGAGCTAAATTGAAGATCACTTTCATAATGAGTTATACTGAATTGGTCTAAAATTAGCCCAATATGAAACTATCTTGTGCCCAATCCTTAAATATTTTGTAGGCCATATTTCATATTTGACACCCCTACTTGTAGCCCCGCTCTTATCTTCTTCTTTATAATATACTTCTATTTATTTATCATCTTCTTTATAATATACTATTTATTCTTTTTTATTTTTTTTGGAGCAGATTTTCTCAAATGGAATATACAAAAGTATAAAGCATAGATCAGTGGTGAGCTTAGCAAAAGAAAGGATTTCAGTAGCAACATTTCAGAGTCCAAGATTGGATGGTATATTAGGTCCATCAAGTAGCCTTGCTACTGTTCATAATCCACCAAAGTTCAAAAAAATCGGAGTCACTGAATATTATAAAGGATTTTTCACCCGTGAGCTTGTTGGGAAATCATATGTGGACACCATGAGAATCACCAATGAAGATGATCTAAAGAATTAATTCGTATTTGTATGAATGGTAAGTAAATCCTTTGATTATGAAAGGATTAATATATTAACATTTGTATAAAGATTTAGCTATCTCAATTTGAATATATATCTGAATTCTTAGTAAGATGTTGTATTAAGATTTTACTACTAAAAATTAAGACTGTTTGTACTTCTAAACATTTGAATATGTAAAAAATTATATGATGATTGTGAGTGTCGATAGAGGATGATGCATCTTATTTAATAATTACTGGTTAAATTATTTTCCGAAGTTTCAATAAATATATGACGATTTTTTCTCCAAAATACTTTTAAGTGCGAATTACCAAAGATTTTCGTTGAAGAAAAAAGAAAAATAACTAAAGCTAAGCTGAATAGAGGTAGCTGATTTTATGCTTTCTAAAATTTATTACGCAATCAAATACATAAAGAGATGAGATAATATAGTATTCATGTTGTTTTCTCCAGCACTAATCTACAAATTACCTGTCATCATTATAATTTCTAAAATTAGAAAACAAAAGAAAGTTGCACGTCATTTAAGTTTATGAATGAGATTTCTATTTATTTTTTTCCCACACGATGTTTAGAGCCCACATTCTACTCATAATAGACATTTTCGAAGTTTCACATCAAGAATTCAAGATAGTATCAAGACCTTTGTGTCCAGACTCTTGATCAGGGGAGGAGCTAGCATGTCTTTAGGGGGTTCATCCGAACCCCCTACAGCGGAAAATATTACTATATATACATGGTTAAAATTATTTTTTAGATGTATATAATAGATGTTGAACCCCCTTCGACTAGTTCGTATGTTTACTCCTTCGGATTTTGAACCCCCTTATTGAAAATCCTGGCTCCGCCACTGCTCTTGATCATAGTGGGGATCCACATAGAGTCCTCCGGATGCTCGAACAACCCTTAACCTTATCTCGAAATATATATATATATGTGTACAAATTAAGAAGGATTTATATAAACTTAACACAGAGCACTGAATGAACAAATGGTATAATTAGTCCATTAGCTCCTAGGTGGATACTTAAGGCTCTTGTAGTGTTGTTTATCCTGAGTTTGAATCTCACCGTGAACATGTCTTTTTTATATTTTTGACTCCACTTTCAGAGCACCCATAACCATAAAATTCTAGATTCGCCACTGCTTGATCAAATAAAATATTCCATTAATTCACAGCCAAAAGTGTAGTCATCACATATAGATGATATGTGTTTTCAGTAGTAACGTACAAGCTTATCGGCATAACATTATTTGATTGTGGTGGAAAATTAGGCCTTGTACTATACATAACATGGTCCCTGTGGCAAATGATTTTCCAAAAATACTTTGTCCAAAATTAGGCCTTGTACTATACATAACATGGTATATATGATTGGAATTTCAAAATAATTAAGTCAATATCTAATTTTATGTTTAATTAAAAAATTTAAACTTTATATATACATATACTAAAAAAAATACCTCAAATATATCATATGATTTTTTAACGAGTGGCGAGGGTAACCATTACTATTGAATATTTTTCAATGAAAAATTTCAATAGAAAAATAATGTTTTTTTAAATAATGAATTAATTGCCATGCCACGATTACACAGTAGCATTAAATCTTTAGCTTTTGAATAAAAAAAGAAACTGTTTATTTTGGGTATAACCTATCCTTAATTTTGACTTTTGTATACAATTTAACCATCTCTTATTTAAATACAAAATAGAACCTCAATTATGACTTTAATGAAGCATTTGAAAAAGAGATGGGTACTAATATGTGATTACATGATGTGATAACATTGCCATCACATGTGAATAGTCATTACATAAATGTCAAACATTGGCTACAAGAAATCCTTTTTAAAATAAATATATTTTCAACGAAAGTCTAGTTTGTGTGTGGTTCGTTTATACGCAATTTGGGTGGTGACATTTATTATTGATGGATGGTTATACAATATAATATAATGGTGGTCCTTATAAATTATTACTTTCTTTATTTTAATTTGTTTGCATAACTGTGACTTACTTTTATTTTCAATCCGTCCCAATAAAATGATATATTTCTATATTTAGTAACAATTTAACTTTAAAATTTTCATTTTACCCTTAATAAAATAATTTATAACCACATAAACATGCATCACTTATTTTAGAGCACAAGTTTCAAAAAGGAACGGAAGGAGTACTAATTTTGCCCCCTAATTGATATAGAGGCCAATTTTGCACAAGTTTCACATGCTAATTAGGTTTTGTTAACCCTCACACGCAATTATTCAATAATTAGATCTTTCTATAATAATCAAATTGAGATATTATCATATATAGAATGTTAATTTGGACACAAGTGATCGCAGAATTATTATTATTATATATATATCAACATTATCTTGCCATAGAATTAAGCCCTTAAACATAAATGGGAGAACTAGAAGTTAATTACAAGGAAGTTCCTTCTGTCCAGGAGCTGGCCAAGAACAAACTCGTGACGATTCCATCGCGATATGTACGTGATTAGGAGTGGCAAACGAGCGAGTCGAGTCGAATATGAGTCGATCAAAAAATGAGTCAAATGAAAATGGGTAAGTTACTCGACTCGACTCACATTTTAAATGGGTAAAAACGAGTTACCTAATGGATAATATGGGTAACCATATTTACCCATATTATAATAGAAATCTTGTTAAAAGCTTTAAAAACATAAAAAAAAAATTAAATTTTTTTATCACTTCACTCCACCCCTACCATCCCCCCCTATCCTAAAAAAATGTAAAAAAAAAATTCCACCCCACCCCTACCAGTCCTCCCCCCACACCCCCAACCCATCCCAAAAAAAATTAACAAAATTTTAAAATTTTTCATAATTTTTTTTTAAATAAATTACCACCACCCCCCCCCCACCCCCTCCACACCCCATCCAAAAAAAAATAAACAAAATTTTAAATTTTTTCATTAAATTTTTTTAAAAAAAAAATTACCACCGCCCCCCCCCCCCTTCACACCCCCTCCAAAAAAATTAAACTTCATTAAAATTTTTTAGGGAAAATGCATAAGTACCCCCCCCCCCCCAGCCTATGCCCGAAATCTCAGAGACACACCTAACCTTTACTAAGATCCTATTACCCCCCCGCACTTAATTTATCTATAATATTCTACTCATTTTCGGCCTACGTGGCACTATCCTTGAAAAAAATGTCAACATGCGCTAGGCCCACTTGATAGTGCCACGTAGGCCAAAAAGGGGTAGAATATTACATATAAAATAAGTTCGGGGGGGTAATAGGACCTTAGTAAAGGTTAGGTGTATCTCTGAGATTTCGGGTATAGGCTGGGGGGATACTTATGCATTTTCCCTTTAAAATGTTTTTTTAAAAAAATTTACCACCCCCTCCCTACCCCCCCCCCCTTCAACACCCCATCCCAAAATAAAATTAACAATTTTAAAAAAAAAAAATTACCAGCCCCCCTCCACACCCCATCCAAAAAAAAATTAGCAAAATTTTATTTTTTTAAAAAAAAAAATATTTAAAAAAAATTACCAACCCACTCCCCCTATCCCAAATTAAATGTAAAAAAAAGTTTCATGTTTTTTTATAGATTTTTTTTTTTAAAAAAGACCTTCTTACCTTTATCACTTTTTTTTGTTTGCTTTTACCCATTTTATCCATTTAACTACCCACTTTTAAATGGGTAATATGGGTATTACTCGTTTTTTACCCATTTTTAAATGAGTTGGATAGCCAATCCATTTAAAATTGGTAATATGAGCGGATATCCATATTATTTACCCATTTTGCCACCCCTATACGTGATGATCAGGACAGTTCATCAATCACATCATATGATCGTAATAATAAGGAAATTCCAGTCATTGGCATTCAACGATTGGTCAATTCTAATGATCATGACATCATGAATCTCGAGCTTAACAAGTTGCATTTTGCAGCTCAACACTGGGGTTTCTTTCAGGTGACATAGCTTGTTTGTTTTACTTAATTTCCTTTTAGTTCATTTTTAAAAAAAATCTTTAGTCCTCTTTTGACTACTCCTTAATTCTAACTTTCCACATGTTTCAGTTGATTAATCATGGAGTTAGTTCTTCTGTGGTGGAGAAGATGAAACACGAGACTCAAAAGTTCTACGATCTTCCATTAGAAAAGAAGAAGAAATTTGAACGATCACCACGCGATGCATATGGATTTGGACAGCTGTTCGTTGTCTCTAATGAACAAAAACTTGACTGGGCAGACTTTTTTTATTTGAAAACCGCACCTCCACATTTGCGGATGCCTATATTTTCCAAGCTATACCTTTCACTTAGGTACGTAATTAACGTCATTCGCACCCTTCTGTATTAAACATTAGAAAATAAGTAAGAGAATAACTTATTATGTAGAGAGACGATTGAAGAGTACACGGAAGAAATAAGGAGCTAAGCATGAAAGTTTTGGAAATGTTGGGTAAAGCTTTGGGGATTAAAAAAGAAGAAGTGAAGAGTCTTTTTGAAGAAGGGATGCAATCAATGAGGATGGATTACTATCCACCATGTCCACAATCAAACAAAGTGATGGGATTTTACCCTCATTCTGATCCCTTTGCCTTAAAAATCCTTCTTCAAGTCAATGAAACTCAAGGTCTTCAAGTTAAAAAAGATGGAATTTGGATTCCCATTTTACCCCTCCCTAACGCCTTCATAGTCAATATTGGAGATACTTTTGAGGTACTTCCCTTATTCTCTTCTCTTTATCTGTTATTCTTTTCTCTAAAGTTTTAATTTACGTCATCATATTTGACTGAATATTGAATTTTGAATATATACACATTTTGAAACTTGAGATCCAAGATCTAATTAGAAACCCAGGACATGAGACTCAACCCTCGACTTCGACCCATCACTCTAGACCCTAGATGAGAGACTCGAACCTAACTTGATGCTTGAGATCCGATAATGACCCGAGATTCGACCCCCAATCCAAGACCCAACTTTGACTAAGAATTCGAGA